GCCAAGCAAATGTTGCTGCCGAGTGACAAGCGGATCAGTGCTTCAGGTGTAGCTCCTTAGGGGCTGGGCAGGTGACCTTTAACTTTAACCTTTTCGGTGAATATATGATCCTACAATATATGAAAGGTGAACCTTTCTGGGGCTAGGGTATTCAGCCCCTAAGGCTCTTGGATTTTCCTTACACCAAGGCCTTTGCCAGAGGAGCCTGGATGATGAAGGTCAATACGCCAGAGGCTGGAGCCCCAGAACGGACCAGCCGAGCTTTGAGAACCCTAGGTTTGAGGTTGTGGGTTGCATCGTAGAACTATCGTAGACACCCCAGACCTTCACACTTGACCGCGAAGCTGCTGGCCAACACCCTGTTGAAAGCAGCTTGAAATCCAACAGAATCCGCCAGGGCCGCTAGAGGCTCTCTTTTCATGCAAAACAACGCGCCGCGTCAAATACGCGAAGCGTCCAGGGCACCCTCCCCACGTGCATCTAGGACTCTAGGATCTTGTGAAGCCTTGCTACACACACCAAGCAGGCAAACACTCAGGCGCCCAGATGTGTCAGGAACACTCAGACGTGTCAGGATAAGTCTTTGCTGGATGCGAGTCAGTGTCTTAGTGCCTGCCGTGCGAAAATGGCAACACGGGCGCGCCTTCAATCCTACACATCCCAGCTTTATTTATTGTCAGCGGGCCCAGCGGCTTCAGCATACCGGACAGACAGCGAATGAGCCCAGCAGATCCAGCGGACCCAGTGGACCAGTACAGCCAACATAGCGGCTCCAGCAAGCCCAGCGGGCTCCAACGGACTCAGCAGACCAAAGCGGCTCGCTCCAGCAGGCTCTAGAGGACTCAGCTAGCAGACCCAGCGGCTCAATTGGACTCCAGCGAACACAGAGAACTCAAACCCAGCGGACGGCCCAGCGGCTCCGGCGGACCCATGCAGCGGACTCAGCGGGCCAAGCGGCTCCAGCGAACCCGTTAACCCTAAACCTAAACCTCAAAAAGTTCCGGGTTTCAGCGACTATTTGACATCAGTTTTCCTTTGAGCCTTTAAGCATAATTGATTTCAAAAGGAATCCTATGTCAAATAGCCCTTAAGCGTCCAACTCCCAGGGGGGGTTTCCAGACAATGAGAATAAGGATCGAGGCACCACTTTTCAAACCGCTCCTTTTACGACTTCAAACCGAGACTTTGTTTCGATTTGCAACTGAATGAGCCTTGGCTCTCAATGCCTGCTGCTGAGCATTCCACTGGGCTTCCATTCAGCCCCAGGAGCCAGCAACTCTTTTCTTTCCACAGTTGGAAAGAATATTTGAGTGCCTGGACGTTTGAGCGCCTGAGTGTCTGAGTCTCTGCTGTTCATGCTGCGCCCTGTTGGCAAGCTCTCGCATGCTCCCTCAATAGATCAGACGATCGCCCGAACAGACGTGCATCACCTGGCAATGCTCTCGAGCTGTCGCACGAAACAGGAGCTTAGGGCTTAGGGGGTCCGAATGGGTCACATGTATCACTGATGCATTCCGGTCCCGCGGACTGTGGACAACGCGCCCCTGCCCGGTCAGAATATGCCACCGATTTGTGTGGGATTTCGATTTTAGGGCTACCCTCTTAGGGGTCCTTATCATAAGGAGATCCTACTATTTGGGGGTCTATATCAGGGCTCCTTTGTCTTCTTAAACCCTCATTTCTGGCCCCGATTTCCTCCGAGGCGGATCTTCCTGGCTCCTAGCCTCGGTCTTGGGAAAGCCCTACCAGCTTTCAGCAGCTCGACCGCCGTAGGCCCCAAGCCGAGTGACACCCTGAACCCCATTTAAACCATTTTTTTCAGGGTTTTTGGCTCTACTTTTGAGTTGCGCATTTTGCACTCCGAACCGCCGGCTGGCGGCGAGCATTAGCATGGTTGAACCAACAAGGGCCGTTAGTCCGTTAGTGACAGTTGGTGACATGCTCAGAGGCGACGCCACCGCAACCCTGCAAATTCCTTGGCAGCCCGCCAGCAGATGAGGTTTTGTGCCTGGCGTACGTAACCGTCTGCTTCGGCATGACATCCACCTCCCTTGTCGTCGCCATGACATCGCAGGCGCGAGACCTGAAGGTGATCGACCCGAAACCTCCCCGAACTGCAAATACATGGCTTGTGAGTGCAGAGTATGTTCGGGCAGCTTGTAGTACATGAAGTTTTCCATCAAATGGGGGGGGGTCATTTGCACAGAACAACCGGAAACATGCAGGATGCCCAACACCTCGACCACTGGGGTTTGTAGATTTCGGTTGCAGCGTTATGGCCCTCCAGCTTTACCACTTTGTAGAAGGTAATGTTCAGCCAGGTTTTCGATGCAGCCAACGGCCCGCGACACGCTCGAGATCCCGAAGCCTCACACAAAGCACCCCTGCAAGCATCTTGAAACTTTAGCTTCGAACTCCTCGACCCAAGAACGCTAGGCAGGTGGCCAAAAAAGACCCAAGACCCCAATCAAATGTCGGAGGTGCTGATGGGCTCGGTGTTTGTCGTCCTGTACCAAGCGGTTACCTCAATGACCCCTGGCCGGGTCGGTTTGACTTTCGGGCTCGTCGTTGAGGACTTTCAGGCCATGCCTTTTCTTGAAGCTGGGTGCGTAGGACGCGAGGAAGCCATGGCACGAGAGTATAGAAGGATCCAGCCTAAATCTTAAACCGTGCTGGAGGGAAAAAGCACCTATGAAGTACTTTAAAGGGAAATGGGGGATTCCGCAATTTGGGGTACCTTATGGGGGTATTATAAGGGAACCCTACCTATCTGGGGGTCTATATCAGGGGTCCCCTATTTTCGTAAACCCCCAAGGAATGAAGTGATTATGTGCTTGTGAGGAACACTTTCTACTCGCTCGGCGACTCGAACGTGTTTTTGAAGCTTCAGGCAGGGCCAGGGTCATCCGGTTCGGACGTTTAGGCTGGGGTCGGACCGTCCGGTTCTTCGGCCTTGCGCTGCTGTGGACCCAAGAAGGCGGTTATGTGCAGCATCCTGGTATCCCGACACTGCAGCGCTAGAAAAGGTGGGGCAGAAACGAGCAGGTCCGGCAGTCTTAGCTCGAATCCTGCCGACCCTTTAGGGGCCCAGGTCAGAGAAATCTATGAAACTGGCCCAACTAAAACTACCCGTAACTACCCCCTGTGCAATCCCAAGCCTTGCTGCCTTGCTATGCTGTCTCCGACTCGAAGTTCTCAAGCTCTCGAAGCCCCGAAGTCCAAAGTGTTGTGGTAAAGACTTACTGGAATTCACAACGATTCACCGCAAGCGAGAGGTGCTGAAGCAGAACGCAGAAGCTCTAGCCAGCGCCCTCGCCGGACTCACATCGCTCATGATCTACCAGCAGGTTCAGCAGAGACGGGGTTGTCTGTTGAAGTTACATCCCGAAAGTCCTGTGTACATAGATCATGTTGAAGGGGATTTGTGTGTTTGAAGCCGGTGCTTATTTGCAAAAAAGGGCACCCGTTCTGTAGAAGCACCTCTCAGAGATGCCTTGTCGAAAGCTCGCGTGCTGCTCGGCTGGGTGCCGGTGTGAGCTTTCAGTGCGCAAGTGGGGCCCGGTTGGGTCCTGCTGTGAGCTTCCGTGCTTAAGTGCGCAAGGGTGTGGGTTGCAGCTGTGGCTCCCAGCGCTCAAGGTTGGCTTTGGCAAGCTTGGTGCGCTAAGCTCTTGCTAGGTTTCCCTTGTCATTGTCAGAAAAGCCACGCAGCAAAACAGTTTACTTGTAGCTGTGCAAGGACCCGGAAAACACTTCTGGTCTCGAAGCCATAGGCCATAGACAGCTATTCCGAAACCCTGGGCCCCACACAAATTCCTACCCTGAGGTAGGACCAAAAGTCCTCCAGAGCAGACAGGAATGTCGGACAGACTATCAGCAATGGCCTTAAAGTGAAACGTCCCTCTGCAGGTGGGCCCAACGGCACCGTTCTTCCTCACTGGGTGCCTTTTCGTGGCGGTCTTTTTCATCTACACTGCTGGCTTTTGCATGAGGCGGACAGCTCAATCAAAGCATTGAAGGGCGGTGCAGGCCGTTCACTAGCCGAGTCAGGAGACAGGGTTCTACAGCGGAAATTGTCCAGACAATGCTGTTTCACCATGTTCCACCGCAACAGCATGGCATGCTTCAAGTTAGTGAATGGTTGGTGGTGAGCCGCGTTTTGCGAGGAGATGTTGGGTTGAAGTCCCGAGCCGGGCCTCATGTGTGTCTGTATGTGTGCACTCCTGTGTTTCAAGGAGTCCTTTTCGTGCACTCACAAACCAGGGGCGTGCATTGCCGAAGGTGGGAAGGGATCAAGGACGCTTGATCCTGTACCTGCGTAACTTTCTAGCCAACTCCTTCGGGGGTGTTAGTGTGTGTGTGTGTGTGTGTGTGTGTGTGTGTGTGTGTGTGTGTGTGTGTGTGTGTGTGTGTGTGTGTGGGTGCGTGCGTGCGTGCGTGCGTGCGTGCGTGCGTGCGTGCGTGCGTGCGTGCGTGCGTGCGTGCGTGC